AAAAAAAAATGGTTCTATTTCCTTGCGTTTCCTTATTGGATTATATCATTGGGGCCTCTAAGAAATGCAAAGCATAGGCTAGTTATATAAATAAAACTATTACCAGAAAATAAATTATTACATATGGGTAGTAGGAAAAAAGGGAGGTGAATCTCCATATTTTTGTGTTGTGACAGTGGATTTTGTGGATTATTTTAGGGGAAGACTATTTAATCAAGATGCATTTTGAGCCATGTAATTGCACGTGTTTAGTTGGGGTCTTTTGGGAAGTTTAATATTCCTTAGGAATTGAGTAGATTTGCATTCTTAGGGGGAAGATAGTGTCTAAAGAAGAGAAGAAACAATTTTGTGGTTGGATAGGTAGGTGGCATGGGCCTGACTCAATACCTTGGCACTTGACATTGGCCAATAAGCAATTATTTAATTACTTTAAGCCAAAATGATTATTTTGGTTTTAGTTATGCAGATATTTCACAGTAAAGAAAGATCATTCTCAATTGTATAGTACCACTGTGAGTGTAGGGCATGGACTTTTTTTGAGGCAAAAATATATACTATGGCTTGTATCTCTTTTGAGGAGGCAACAGGAATAGAATGTAGGACTTGCTGGCCAACACTGTAGTCACTAACCACATGTGGCTCTTCAAATTTCACTTCACTAAAATTCAGTAAAATTTGAAATATGGCTTTTTTAGCCATACTAGCTCTGTTTTAATTATTTCATAGTCACAGATAGGTAGTGAGTAGTATATCAGTCAGTATAGTTATCAGACATTTCTACCATCTAGCAGTAGTTGAATAGGAAAGGAAAACTGTGATTTCTGGCACAAGCCCATCCTATTTTTTTATAACTTTTTTAAATTTTATAACAGATTATTTTTACATCATTTTGTACATTTTTTTTAATCTTAATTGTAATCCCCTCAGGTTTTCCATCACCAAGTCACCCGTGTGCCATCACCATAGTCCTTCTGCCTATTTTTTAAATAAAGTTTTATTAGGTAGGACACAGCCATACCCCTCCACCTCTGTGTTGTCTTTGGCTTCTTTCATGCTACAACAGCAGAATTCATCAGTGTCAGAGACCATCTGATCTACAAAGCTGAAAATATTTACACTCTGGGCCTTTTTAAAATGTCTGCCAACCCACGACATTGTGATTTTGTGGGAAGAGGGTAGAGCGGGAATTGGAATGCCTGGCTTGTCCTCTTTCTGACAGTTTTACATCTGGAGTCAGCCAGATGTAAGCACCATTTTTTTCTTTGTAGTGGTTCATTCACAAAACAGCTGAGTGTACCCATAGTTAACAACAGCATTACTAATAAAGATAATGCAATGGTGTTGGTGTGTCTTGGGTAGGAGGAAATTTTAGAAGCAAGCAGTATGCTGAGGTATTGTCCAAACAGGTTTTTGGACTTCTTGTTGATTCCTCTCCAGGAGGAAAGAATAGGAGAACTCAACTCAGAAAGGCTTATTCCCTTCTCTTGCTGCATGTCATGGATGAGTGCTAGATTCTCTGGCCCCTTTTCTCTTTTTAATCAGTCCCCAGTATTTTACCTCTCCAAGTAAATGTAGTCCAAATTAGATATATACATATTTCATGAAAAAGACGGTGGTGATGTCATGTGGATAGCTTCCGTCTTACCTTTAATAATTAAAGCGACCCAATAAAAGAGATGGCACTTTGAAGTAGATAAAATTACTATAGGGGAATTCTTCATATGCAGAAAAAGTGAGATGCTTTTTCAGTTTTCTGCTTTGAAGTTGGAAGTATGAGATGAATGATTTTATCAGCTGGAAACATCCAGGAAATTTCTTTTGCCTTTTTTTTTCTCCTTTTAGAATCTTTGTAAATGAAAGTGGAGAAAGTTACCAAATGATGTCTATCTTATAGAGAGAACATTTCTGGTTGAAATTAGCTCCAATTGTTGGATCATAGGCAAATTATTTTTGGCAGCAGTATAAAATACATTAAAGTGATTTTCCTGCTTCTTGGAAAAACAGGGAAATAAGAATCTCCCCACCTAACTTACACTGGGCTAGAGGCAAGTATTCAGTAGATGAGATAAGTTATGTTTCATTATATCTTACAATGAAAGACCTGGATTTAAATTCATATGAGACCTTGATTAAAATTCGTATGAAAGCTATGGTGCCTTTCCTCAGAGAAGGGTGCATGTATTAACTCCTTCCAATTTAATTTCTGAACCATTCCTGAAAGCTCTTGCTAAAACATTAAGATGCTAAAATAGGAAGAGTCCTGGTGGTTCCTCTATGCAATCATCCTGCTTTTTGTTACTTTTTAGAATATAGTATAAAGGGCACATGCCACTCACTTAATGGTCCATCTCAAGGAGGAAGACTTTTGCTACCAGGGGATTTGTGTTTGGGAGGTGGCAGGATAAAGGGTGGGACGAGGGGTGGGAGGCAAATTGTCTGGGTTTGTGGCTGTGTGGCTTGGCTCCTAGGTTAGTTTGTTTTAACTTGTACAAATGCCCAGAGCTCTTTGACATATGTGCAATAAATCAATGTAATAATAATTACACATATACAGAGAAACACCACATAGCTCTTAACATAATATTTTACTTTTTAAAATAGCTTCAAAGCACCTCAAGGCCAAGTTTCTTATTTTGCTTCTTCCCTTGATGTTGCCTGTGTACCAGCTCAACCCCATCTACTGTCACGTTAATCCCATGGCAGTAGAGATAATAGAGGGCACTTTTTATATAGGAACTGGGTTTTTCTGGATTTCAATGAACAATTACTAATGTATCTGGAAATTAGGAAAAAGAAAAGTCAGTGATTTTGTGCATTGAAGTAAAATGTTGTATAAAAAATAGAGCATTTAAAAATCAGAGATTTGTGGACATGTCTCTGCTTTCTACTCCCCATTTAATAACTGATTGAACAAGACATGAACTTCTCTGGGTCACCATGTTTGGCTTTATATAACATGGCCATTGTGCCATTCTGATGTACCTATGAGCAAAATGCTTTGACTTTATAAATGGTTTTAAATATAAATTCTGTTGATTTTCATCATTGCTGTTATTATTACTATTGCATATCAGGAAGATTTGGAGAATCTCATACTTCACTTCTCATCATCCACTCTCTTCTAATATTTCATGAGTCTTCTTTGAATATGTCATCTCTATGTTTCTATGTTTCTCAATATCAGGCTTTTATGTTATTATTCGATTGAGTCCTTTTTTTTTTTTAATGTCTCAGAATGACAGAGACATGAGGGTGTTGTGAAGGTGCCACCTATTTTGCTCTGTATCCAAATGAAGAAATTTCTTCCTGATTTCTGGCCAGCACACTTTTTCCAATCCCAGAATGATTTCCAAATTGCCAGTGATGACAATTCTATTGCATGTTTTCTGGAAGATGTATTCCATGACAGTGTTCTAAATGCTGGCTTTAATACTCATTTCTGTTCCAAACAGATCAGGGAAGAGTTCTACTTCTCTGAGAGTAAACACTTGACAATCTGTTAATTAACAAAGCATGTGGGAGTTTTGCAGAGGGCAACCCATGCAGATTCAGTTAGTGACAGCTCCATAGTAGGGGTCTGTGATACTTAGCTTTTGTTTTTTAGATGTAGTCATACAGATGGTGATTTCATCTAATCTGTAGATTTACTGCCACCCCCGCCCCCAATTCAGGTCAGTACATACACTCATATATACACATAACCATATATATAATTTCAGCAGTGTACAGATGCCCTAAAGCATTTACAAGAATTTCTTGTTAAAGAAATTCTGTCCTGAAAAAGGTAAAACTTGAAAGCTGTCCGTAGATCTGAGTAGGTAAAGGGGAGGGAGAGAGTTCAAAATGGAAGAGATCCATTGATATGGGTGTTACATATATACTTTATATGTCTATACATGTCTTCACATGTCTTCATACATGTAGTCATGCTTTACAAAAAATAAAAAAATGGACATTAGTTTCTGACTATGTTTTCTCTGCTAGAGACTGGCAATTTTTAAATGGTCTGTGATATATACATGTACAT